TTGAAAAGAGAGATGGGTGAATTTTCCAGGATTGTCAGACTGCGATCTGCCGTTCAGTATGACCATTCCATGCTCCTCCAGTATTCCCATCAAAAGATCACCTCTTCTATTAAATTGATGGTCCATGGAATATCTCGAGGATAAGAAAGGGGAGCCGAATGGTAGAGCGTACGGTTGCAATCCATTCTGGGATCCTAGGTGATACTTATATTCTTCACCCAAAAGAACACAGTCATCCGGATATCGAGTGTTCATTGCGTCAAGTGTTTCTTTCAATTCGGTGAGAGTTGTTGTGAAGGTTGTGAGAGACTCATGTGGTAAATATAGGCAACCGATTATTGCATTGACTGACTGGATCTTAACATGAACAAAATTCCATCTCGGGTCCTTCATTATTATGTCTAACACAGAGTAATGCTTGGGGATAGCGACACATAAGCCACCTAAGGCCCTTCCACTATTGTGAATCTTGGTAGATCTGTATTCAATAATGTTGTAATGTTTATGAAGAGAGTTACTAACGCTGGGAGAGTCACACAGGTTTCACTTAAATATAGCACATCGTTGAAAATGGAGGCGTTAGCCAGTTCAGTAGTGTTGTGAAAACCGTACAAGTTCCAAAAAACAACACGTATAATCCACTGATCAGCTGATGTAAATATTGATTTCATACGCTCTACGGGGATCGGTTCAGCTGACTGATTATAGCCGGACGAGGAGGGGAGCGACGTTGATTGCCATTTCTCAGGTTCAGCGACAGCTTTTGGCTTACGGTTCTCCTTATTGTCGCGACTTGCACCACTGCTGCTCCTCCACTTTCGTACACTCGTCTGGGATTCTGAGTACGAAGAAGAGTATCCTGACCTCACTTTAGACTTCCCATCATCGGTCACTGATTTTTCCTTCATATCTTTGGGAGAAACTTTGGGTTTCGGCATCTTCGGGACGACAAGTTCCATCTCCGTAGGGAAGGGATTAAGCGGGGTCGACTGAATAGACGCGAGCTTTTCAGGAGACAAAACTTTGCCATCTACTAATACGACGGATCCCCCTGATTTGGCGACGATACCAGTGTCTCTCAGCTATTTAACTGTCGACAACTTGCTTCTCCTCTCTGTTCTTTCATCAACTGTGAGATCATTGGATATTGCATATCCAAGCTCTCTCAGTTTAGTACCATATTTGAAGATTTCGGCTTTCCAACGTACCGCTGTGAACCGAACTATTGGCGTGCTCGTGCTTGTGTTTCTCCCGATTCTGTACACAGAGTCCAAGCAAACCTCGCGTACCTGACTGCCAACCTGACCAGAAGGTCTGTGACAAATCCAAACAAGTCTTTATTGATTCTTTCATCTTCGGGAACTCTGAAGATAATTAAATTATTCCTTTTATATGATTTTTGTAACGTGTCAATATGGTCCTTGAGTAAGATTATTTCTTTTTGCATTAAGATACAGTCTTTTTGGATAGTTTTATGTGATGATTCCACTAACTCAACTGATTGAGTTAAAATCTCAACTTTTTCGGAGAGATTGTCCAGAGATGATTGTATAGCGGAGGTGAAACTGCCCATAATCTTGCGTATTTCCTCTGTAGTTTCCATGATTAGGCCTCTTGAAGAGTTTATATTTCACAAAACAGATCACAAAATTCATAAAAACACAAGTCCTGGGGGATAATCTTACGGTATTAACAGCACTGAGTACACTCGAAATGAAACGTAGGGAGCTCGATGTAGACACATCTGGCACCTACTACCATCCAACAGAGACTTCTATGAATACTGATATTTAATCTATGTTTTCTGTCATCTAGGAAATAATTAAACAAAAGGCCTACCAAGAAATCATTAAGATGAGAGATAGCCAGGACCGTTTGGGAGGGAGTGTCGGAAATGTAGAGCGCCCGCTCTGGACTTCTCACGTGCTCGACTCTCTCATCTATATAATGTATACTCCGCGCTGCCCGTTGGCACGCGCCTGTCGTTCCTTACCTCACTTCGCGTCTAGACGTGATACGTTATAGTTGTACTGAGACGGGTTCTAATAAATATCTTTTTCACATGAGAAAATCAAGTATTGCGCATTCTTTCATAATCCCTGCAACTCTGAAAAAAAAATGAAAATAAAATTTTTACAGGGTTATGACGTAACAGAATCCACAAAAATGAAATGAATTCAATTCTGTTAGACTAGTTAAAGAGCTCTCTATTAGATTATGAATCATTCCATACCAAAAGCTAGCTATTTCGATGCACAAAATCTCCCTTTTCGGTTTCGAAATGCTCTCTTCCGGTAAAATACCCACATGTTGATTTAAGCTCCCTAGCTCTCCTTTTCTACCTTTTTGGTGGATAATATTTACAATTTTGAAATATTACGAATAGCGGACAACCTAGAAATTACTATGAAAGCTCTCTAAAACCTACTATTCAGATGGTCATCGTCCAGAAATAGGAAAATGCGTATATTTTCTCTCTCTCTCTCTCTCTCTCTCT